CGAGCAAGAACTAAGTCGTCAATGTCATTTTGGGTACACCATGAGGCATAAACCGCATCCTATGTGAGCGAATATATCATCCAGCCTACTGCAAGCCAGCCAAAACAGTCAATTGCAGTATCTAGTAAAATGAAAGACAAAGATCGCCGTTGACCAGAATTCTTGCGCGGAAATTGCTGCAGTCGCAGTAAGCCGGCCATCCCAGAGACTGTATTGTATTGGAGCACAATATCACATTGACAAGTTGGTGGGGGATCATCCGCTGAGGGTCTGACCAAAAAAGGACTGGTGCATCTTGGGCCGCAAAGGAAATGCAATCCTCAGACTTGATAGGCTTCGGCGACTGGAGTAATATTCTCCGACAAAATCCTTAGCTCAGAATTTGATCAATCTCTCCTTGTCATGACATTCTCTTTTGCAGACAAAACAGAGTCAGACAAGTCAAGACGAAAACGGTCATACGAGTCAAGCTCATCGGCAGTCTAACCCGATGCGGACATGACTTGACTGTAGGTTGTTTTGCATGGTGGTATCTAGGATTCTAGGTATTTCGTAGCCACAGATAGATACTGCTGCTCTCTCTCTGTTTCTCAATTCGTGGAGAAGACCGAGTTGACCGATCCAGCTGGGAGGATCTCCAGTCAGAGTTGGACAACAGGCATGGGGATGGTTGGCCGGTCGGTCTTGGTCGGTTGGATTGGTGATCCGACTCTCCACTTCTCGCAGAATGCAGCAGTTGGGCGTAAATTCTTGTCAAATTACCCTGTCCCCTCGTTACATCGTTGAGTACAGCGGGCCCCACGACCTGGATGACGGAATTCTGTTCTTGGGTGAGTCGACAAGGAAGTCTGCAGTGGTAAAAGGGAAGATAGAGGTTCTTCTCTCGAAACGAAAATACCGGGATAAGGGGGAAAGGAGAGAATACAGATGGTGTCAGATGAACGATAGGAGTCAAAAGTGATCTATCAACTGTCGCTTGGGATAAGTGGATAGTTGTGAAGAAGCCGAGAGCCTGAGCCCCGAGGAGAGGAGGGAACCCGACCGTCTGGGTCGAGGTTCCTGCGCCGGGCTGATCACCTCCTGATCCGTGTGGCTCATATATTAATCATAGGTAGTACTAGTAGTACTCCGGGACCACTGACAAGAGACAAGAGTCCAGCATGTCTCGACTTAGGGGTTGGATTTTAAATAAACTCACCTTTCAATCAATTAACTTCATGTCATCAAGAGCAGGATATTGAAATAACCACTGATTAGATTCGAAACCAAATTCAGAACAAAGAAAACGTGGTAAAGCACGAGCGCAACCATCCAGTCTAGATTCTTTGATACCCGTGACTGCTCTCTTTCCCCTCCGCCGTCCGTTTTTGCTCTCCTCACTCTCCCAACTTCTTCCACCCCGCCATATCCTACGACCGTCTTTTTGAGGTAGTCTTTCGACTTCTTGCGCAGGTTCTCTCCAGTCCTCGGTCAAGGTCAGCGATTGATGAACCGAATTGTTCTCTCTGAAGCTCACTGCATCTTCTAGTGGATCAGCCTTGAACCGTGTCGGCGAACCCTTGGTCCTCAGGCGATCCGTGGAAGGCTCAGCGAATCTCCCGCACTTTGACAGCTTCTCATTACGGCTCACCCAAAGCGATCCCCTTTGCGTCCGTCGGAAGCTTTGAGCTGTGTTGCGCCCGTTCCGAGCTGGCTGATTGTATCTCTGGTTATATTCAGTAGTATAGTCGGATTGAGACAACTATCCAAGTCCTGGCGCTTTCGAGCTGGATTTGCAAGTTGAATCACCTCACTCTACACCACACTCGTGATTCCCGAATATTTTCCGTTCAGGATTTGCCACTGCCGCTTTTTCTGCCATCTCAAACTACACCTCGCGCTCGCAGAAACTGCACCTCCGCGACCGTTGAGACCTTTTGCGACACCGACTCTACCACACACCCCCGGTTGAAATTCTACGAGTGAAGCTCGAACGATAATAGAAGCTCTGAGACGACTGTGTGCGAATTCTATATATATATATATTTCTCATATCCTGCAGAAGACCTCGCTTTGCGACGTCAGTCCGTTGCATCACGCGCTGGTCGTGCTGAAGCGCAATTTCAACGTCCTCATTCCGATCGCGGAGACAACACCCCTCATTGCGGCCTACAGTCGATGCTTCAACAGTGACGTTGATTTCCCGCTTCGTCGCATGTCACATATATACCCCTCCTCTTTTTCCGCTTGACTGCAGCCCTCTATAACCTACGAAAATAACATCTTTCTCTTCTATTCATACCTGGTGCCGTCCTCGGTTCCTTGAGCTCACGAACCATGTACGCCGTCGAGGAAAGGTCCCATCCAGTCCCGCCGCCACCACCTCCTCTCTCTATGGATCGCATTCCTCCTCCGTCCTCTGCGTATCCGACCCCAGGTTCAGCCGGTCCGCTGCGATCGGCGGACCACCTTGCCCCGGTTTCGACCATCCACGAGGGCCGCATCTGGTCTCTTCAGGTTGTGCAACAACCTATTCGAGCTCGCATGTGTGGCTTTGGCGACAAAGTCAGTATAATGTCTTGATAGTTCATTTTTATCCTCAGAAGGTGTCTCTGACTGTTTCATCAGGATCGAAGACCAATCACGCCTCCCCCCTGCATCCGCTTGATTGTCAGAGATGCACAAACTGAAAAAGAGATCGATATTAAGTATGCAGACCTTCTCATCTTTCTATGCAAAGCCACCTTTGCTAACTCTCGTGGTCTAGTGAGATTGATACTTCCTTCTACGTCCTCACGGTCGATCTGTGGAATGCAGATGGAACCAGCGAAGTGAATCTTGTCAAACACTCGGCCACCTCGCCATCAATATCCACAGCAATGTCCTCATCATACCCGCCACCTCCGCAGAACCTATCTCCTACTTATCCCGCCTTCGCACAGAACCCCTACGGCCAGCCTGTCGGATACCCGCAGATGAACAATTATTACGGAGCAAATCCTCAGCTGGCATATCAATACGGGGCCAATCCACAGGCTTCCTACTATCCGCCGTATTACGCTGGAGGCCAGATGCCACCGGCTGGCATGTCGCCTGCTGCGCAGCCAGTTACGGCGGGGCCCGGTGGCATGTTCACACGCAATCTTATTGGAAGTCTCAGCGCCAGCGCCTTCAGACTCACTGATCCCGATAACAAGATTGGGGTATGGTTCATTTTGCAAGACTTGAGTGTGCGAACTGAGGGAACCTTCCGGTAAGCATCTTCTCTGGCCAGTGCTTGTGACGGTCCAAACTAATTGGAAACATAGTCTGAAGATGAGTTTCGTCAACGTCGGCACACAATCTGGCGACTCCACGAACAACACGCCCGTGATAAATCACGGTTCTGCCCCCGTTCTCGCTTCCGTCTTCTCCGAGCCATTCCAGGTTTTCTCGGCTAAGAAGTTTCCGGGCGTCATCGAGAGCACGCAGCTAAGCAAGTGTTTTGCTCTTCAGGGCATCAAGATACCTATTCGTAAAGACGGTGTCAAGGGTCCTCGTGGGCGTGGTGGTGACGGTGACGACGACGGTGATGATTACGAATAGGGGACGACGGCGTGAGCTTACTCAAGTCATTCGTTTGCAAAACTGGGCAAGAAGTGAGTTCTCCTTTGCTATTTCTACAGGCATTCATGGGTTAAAATGTGGGGTTCGTGGGTGTTCTCGGAAGAATTTGCTTTGTCTACTGGATGGGTTTGTATTGCTATAAAGGCCGGTGGGGAGGGATTCAATTGCTTGTTTTTTCTTTTCTTGTGTTTTTAATCTTCTTTCCTTCCTTTTGTGACACTTTCTGAAAGAACACAATTACCTTCAGTGTGCGCTATATCCTGAATTGGCTGTCTACATGCATATATCAGCCTAGGTGAATAAAACCAAAAACAGTTCAATGACCTATCTCTGTACCATGACAGCAGCCTTGAATCTGAAGGGGAAAGAATTCATAATCCTGAGGGTTCCAATTTATTGCTATCATATTCGCCAGGACCCAGTATTCTTCGCCTACGCTGGTAAATGCGTATACCTTGTACTTGGTTGTGCCAGATCAATGAAGGCCGTCTACCCTCCGAGGGTTTATATATCAACCCATAAGATATAAAAACACCACGACTCACTTCCGTAATGCGATGCTGATTGGATCAGATATTCTAGCTAGGAACGGCACCTGCCGGGCCAACAGATCGATCAGCGACTGTAGTTCGAATAAAGTGCATTTTGAGTTCGACGAAATTGTAAACTGCATGAACCGCTGTCTTGTGTCGCCACGCCTAAAGACTGCTACTTCGAGACTCTGTCGGCCTTCTCAGGACAAGTCATTACCAATAGCACGGAGACGGTTTCGTGAGGTAATATGATGTGCTCCTTTGAGAAGATCGCTTCACAATGGCTGTGGGATTGAGATCCGATGCCGCCATGATGATGCCATGGGTTAGTCCCGATGTGTCCGGATATTTGCGTTCGCTGAGAAATAGGCAGATATTTGTCTGCAAGACTCTTTAAGGAGTCAGATAATCATGGATGGACGCGAGGTGATGCTTTCGAATACCCCTTCTCTACCGTTTTTATAGGAGTTTGCAGGCCGTTCAGGTGACACTGTCGAGAGAGCACAGAGCTGACAACGTTAGTTGTCAATTTCAGGAATCTCATCCTTTCGTCTTTGATTCCATGGGTCCCGGATTTATACCGACTAGTTTCTGTTGCTCGAGTTCAGATCATCATGACATCTGAAGATACGCGTGTTTAAATCATGGCCCAACAACGTCTCTACCGAGCGGACACGCCATGCAAGCCTTCAGCATTCAACATCCGACTGTGGTCATGATGATGAGGTTGGTCAAGTATAGCCAGACCAATTTACTCACGGAGGCGAGGAGATATAAACGCTAGCAGCCATCAACACCTTTCTCCCCTTCTCACTACATTCTATACCAACGCGCTTCTTCAACCCGATCACTATTACTGGAAGACAGCCACCAATCCCCGTCATGAGGCTCATGCTACTCACCTTCCTCGCTGCATTGGCAGCAGCAGAGAACCAAACCCTCACGCCCTTCGAGGTCAGAGCCAGCGCCCCCGGGACACCCATCCACAATCGCATGATGACCGCGTCCAATCTCACCTTCTTTCTGAACGGCCAGACAGCCTCCTTCTGTCCCTTGCAGACGGGCTGTCCATCAGGTAACCATACCGTTCTCAACGCGAATGCTAGCTCTTTGGTACGTCCCTTATGCCGCATAATTTATCCAGGCAGTCGACGACAACCACCATACTGACCATGTCGACGTGAACAGGACGTCCTCGTCCCCGGCGGCCAGCAAATCTACGCCAGCCCCGATGGTGCCGTCCACTACACCCAGGCTCACTCGGCTTTTATTCCCCCCGGCTCGTCTACGGGTCCCTTCTTCCAGGCCGACGGGGTCTGGCATTTTACAGGCCTGGGGGCGCGTGACTTCATGGCTTGTCCCACGGCGAATCATAGGTGGGAGGTGTTTGTGGCGTTGCGGAATGCGACTGTGCCGTTGGGTAATGTCACTGCTTGTCTGCCGTTCGTGGCGATGGCTATTCCGTTCCTGGCGCCGGAGGCTGGCGCTTTCCAGTATACCTGATTTTTTTTTTTTTTTTTTGGTAGTAGGGGTTGTGTAGTGTAGTGGTTGCGCTACAGATCACGTTTTGTTTATGCGGTTAGATATTATAGAGTCTAGACAGGTAGGAGAGTAATAGAGTGATAGAATAATTAGTTTTAGCCATAGGGTATCTGTGTTCGGGTCTATAATGAATCTAGATTAGTTGGTCCATATCCGCACAGCTTTGTCCTTTCCTCCACTGCCCACTCTCTGTCCGTCTGGACTCCAGTCAACGGCGAAGACTTCGTCTCTATGTCCCGGCAGGTCCATGGCGAGTTTGCCTGTGCGGACGTTCCAGACCTTCAAGGTGGTGTCCTTCGATGACGACACGAGCAGGCGAGAATCGGCGGAGAAGCAGCACTGGTATACAGCGCCTACATGGCCACGGAGAGTGGTGATGAATCTAAATGGCCTGGTTAGCCCCTAAATGTTGGTGAAACATCCAATATCACGACTTACTTTCCATCCCGTCCATTCCAAAGCTTCACATGGTTGTCGAAACCCGCTGAGGCAATGTAGGCCATGTCCGGAGAGAACGTAACATGGTTGACCTCCTTCTGGTGACCCAGCAGCCGCGCGACAGGCTTGCTAGAGTTTTCGGGGTCCCACAAATACATGGTGAAATCGTCACTCGCCGATACCAGCTTCTCAACGATCTTATTGTTGACGGTGGCAGCCTGCTCGAAGCGCTTCTTCGCTGTAGCCACCTTCTCCGTGTCCGACTCCGGGATCTTGCCGGTGTGGTCATGGTAGGCCGTTCGGAGAGCGAAATCCGTTGACAACGCCAGGTGATTCACGCGGTGCGCGTGGGCTGATAATGTCTGAAGCAACGAACCGTTCTGTGCGTTCCAGATCTTGATCGTTCTATCGTGGGAAGAAGTGTAAATCTTCCCTGTCCCGCCCCAGCGCACGCAGGTGACCGAGCCCTTGTGTCCGGTGAGGACAGTGTCAATTCTTTTCCCAACCACATCCCATATGCGGACCGTCGAGTCCTTCGACGCGGAGGCTAAGCGCGGCCTACCCGCCTCCTGCATATGATAGGGCTCCCACGCCAGACTGGTAATCCACTTTGCATGGCCCTTGAGGGGTCCTCCTAACGGTGTTCCTTTTGCCGCATCCCACAGTCGCACAGTGTTATCCATACTTCCGGTTGCGATCATTGCTCCGTTGGGCGAGTAAGCTACAGCCAAAACCCAGCTGGTGTGGCCCTTGAGCGTATGCTTGGGAGTTCCTGTGTCGCAATCCCAGATCCGCGCCGTCGAGTCACCACTTCCAGACACCATGGTAGACGAAGAGACCGGGGAGAAGGAAGTCGCAAGGATTGCCTCTCCATGTCCGGCAATCGAAGCGGAGCATCGCGAAACAGCTTTCACCCGGAAAACGGCCTGCGGCGTGAAATAAAGGTGGATGGTATCTTCAGTCGTCTTCAGCCCTGGCTTAAGCAAGGAATGGTACAGGTCTGCAAGAATATCGATCGTTTGGCCATCTTTGTCGTCAGACTGGTAGGTGAATCGGTACGGTACTCGTTCGTCATCGTCCTAGATTTGGAGTATAGAGCTTTAGTCCCTACAATCTTTCGCAATTGAATCATTCCTGCGTACCTACATTGCCTTGTAGTGTATTCAAGAGAGTTTCGAGATTCTTGATGTTGGCGTCAGCCACTGGAACGGAGACTGAAGGACCAGTTGCGGACCCGGTTGCTTGATCAAAGAATTGTACTCGGACGCTTCCCAAGTTGTCCGGGATGCTCTCGATTTCCTGCTGAAGTCGTGCCTTTTCCGCAGTCTCCAGCTTTTGGCGCTTGCTCGGAGGGGGTACGAGAGTCGCCATCTTGTCAAAAAGGGAATATTATTAGCGATTGCTATGATTGTTGTCTTGAGCAATAATCCCCGACCGTCAAGAAAAAAAATTCATCCAAATCACTTATCGCGGGGGGTGGGATCTGCGCTAAACCGGATACGGACAACCCTGCTTATCGTATACAACTGTTGTTGTACAGAGTAGAGACACTCCTCTATTTACCCCTTCCACTTCCTTTCATCGCTTTAATCGTGATAAGGGACTCCCATTGATTGCTAACTACCAGAATGATGAAATCATTGTCTCGTGTCTCGTCCTTTGGAGACGCTAGTTCTTTTGCAGCTCTTACCTCCAGACAGGAAAGTGAACGACCCCGGACAGCAAGACCAGCCACAACTGCCACAAGTATTGCGTCTCAGGACATCATCTGTGCTGTCAGTGAGTCCAGAGGAGTATCGTCAACTGTTGGACTTGCATTCGTCAATCTCTCAACAGCGGAGACAGTCTTATGCCAGATCTGTGACAGTCAGACCTATGCCAAAACTGTCACCAAGATCGCAGTTTTCGAACCCACAGAGATCCTTTTCATGAACTCTGCCAGAGAATCCAAACTCTTCTACATCATCCAGGAAAACATCTCAGACACTACTTACACTTTTCTTGACCGCAGGCATTGGTCAGAGAAGGTTGGCCACGAATATGTTGATCGCTTGGCGTTTCCGCAAGATGTTGAAACAATCAAAATCGCTCTTGGAGGAAACTACTTTGCATCGTGTTGCTTGGCTGCTGTAAGACTTGCATCGATAGATTTTGAGTGTCATAAATCTGACGCTCAGCAGGTGCTCAAGTACGTCGAACTTGAGCTTGACCGGGTATTTGCATCACATTCTCTGCGAATCAGATTCGAACCTTCCCAAGGCTCCATGTCGATTGACTTGTCCACCATAGCCTCACTCGAATTGATTCAGAATCTCCAGAATGCAAAGTCGAAGGATAGCCTCTTCGGCCTGCTCAATGAGACTTTAACCCCAATGGGTGCCAGGCTCCTTAGGGCCAACATTTTGCAGCCCTGTACAGAAAATTCGAAGTTGTTGGCAAGATACGACGCCGTCGAAGATCTCTCTACCAAAGAGGATACGTTTATCTCTGTCAGACAAGGTCTGTTCGAGTTTAGTCTAATCTGCTCAAAATACCACTAATCTCTGTGTGCCCCATAGCCCTGAAAGGTTTCGTCGATGCAGACAAAGTTCTGACGTCTGTCAGTTCCCTCGCTCTATAGTACTGATACTAGTCATCGCTGACATCGCAGCTCATCCTCGCTCCCACAAAACGCACCTATCAATATGTGGAGCAATCAGTCAACAACGTCATCATGCTCAAAACCTATGTCTCATCAATCAAATCAATATATAAAGCGCTTGCGACAGCTCAGAGTAGCCTTCTCATGACTATACGAGAGGTATACACTGACCCGATGTATACTGTCTGCTGACCCATTGACGCCTGTCAGTTATGTGCTCCAGCAGGCCACCGAGCAATAGAACGGCTTGTTGAAGAGACATTGAATGAACATGTAACGTACCAGACCAAGCCGCTTGATCTTAGAAATCAGCGTATATACTGCGTCAGGGTACCTTTTGCTCTCTCTGCGGACCATATATTATTGACAGAAGCTAATGACCAGCTCGCTGCAGGCCGGCGTCAATAGTCTCCTCGATGTCGCAAGGCAGACATATAAAGAAGCAAATGTAGATGCCGCAGACCTTGTGGCCAAACTCTCAGGTACAATGCATTGGTTCTGCTTTCCTCTGGTTGATATTGATGCCTGCCCTTTCTCAGAATCGCACAATCTCAACCTAGACCTCAAATTCGATTCGGCTCGTCAGTATTATATCAGTGTGTCCGCTTCGGAGGTAGAGACTCTCCCAGAAACCTTCATCAATATATACCGCAGGAAAAACCGCATAGAATGCCAGACACTTGACCTCGTCAAGCTAAACCAGAAGATTATAGACGCGCATAATGAGGTCATCAACATGAGTGATCAAACCATTCAAAGCCTTATCGACGATGTCTGCTCGGAAATATCCGTCCTTTTCAGGGTGAGCGAAGCTATAGCCATGCTTGATATGCTTGCTGCTTTTGCGGAGCTTGCCACATGCAACGAATACATCCGACCTGAATTGACGGATGTGCTCGCTATCAAATCCGGACGGCACCCGATTCGGGAGAAGATCCATACGAAAAAGTTCATTCCCAATGACGCTTATGCAACTCAGCAGTCGCGTTTCCAGATAATCACTGGCTCGAACATGAGTGGGAAATCGACTTATATCCGCTCACTTGCACTGATGACCATCATGGCACAGATTGGCTGTTTTGTTCCAGCAGAATATGCATCCTTTCCGGTGGTCCACCAGCTCTTCGCTCGTGTCTCTACATCTGACGATCTCGAGGCTAATGTCTCAACCTTCGCCGCGGAAATGCGCGAGATGGCGTTTATCCTCCGTAATATCGAGCCGCGGAGTATGGTGATTGTGGACGAACTCGGCCGCGGCACGAGTACCACCGATGGTCTTGCGATCGCCATCGCCATTGCCCAGGCTCTTATCGAAAGCCACGCCCTTGTCTGGTTCGTTACGCATTTCCGCGACTTGGCTTTGATCCTGGCGGAGCGCAGCGGTGTAGTCAGCCTTCATCTAGCCGCGGAAATCTCCCCGGATATATCTCGAATGATAATGCTTTACAAAATCGCAGAAGGTCCAGACACAACGCAATTCTATGGCCTTGCGGTGGCAAAGCTTGTAGATCTGCCGCCAGGTGTGCTCGAGTCTGCTCAGGCAGTATCGGAGAAATTGAACAAGATAGCACAATGCCGGCATAGCAAGTCCAAGGCGCTCATGCTATCACGTAAGCGTAATCTGCTGCTTTCTTTGAGAGAGCAACTTTTACAAGCGCGCAATGGAACACTGGAAGGGGACGCTCTCCGGAAATGGCTGAAAAAATTGCAGGATAACTTTGTACTGCGTATGGCCGCCATCGAGGAGGAGACGGCTGAAATGAGCGACGATGAAATCGATAATGATCCAGACACTGTTCCGACCGAAAGAGCACAAGATAACTTTGAGCACCCATCTCCCCAGGGGTGCGCTGAAGGTGCCTCTGGTGATGAACCGCAAACTGCCATTCTGATCTCATCGGCTTCTGGGGAGTCGGTAACAGATTCCTCTTCACGGGAAATGTCTCATGATGAGACCCCAGCGGACTAATGGCTTTGGTCAAACACAGGCACAGTGAAACTAATTACATGACAGGTAACGAGGTTGCATGTTAAGATATTGTATCATAAGAAGCCGCATAGTATCTGACATATCTTACTTGGCAGATTCATCAAGGCAACATCGAGATTCGCAAAGACTTAGCTTCCATTCCTCTAGTTCCTATGTAACCTCTCCTTACTTGACAGGACAGATCACTGCATAACTTTTTACTCTACCAGAATTACCTCTAACACAATATGTGACCGCTTAAATACAAATCTCAGATAGAACGACAATAGACAGGTGGCATATAGACAGATACTTTACCCAAAATGGAAGAGTGTCTGCTTGCCTTTCTTGCCTTTACCTTTCTTCCCTCCACCTGTCGACGACTCCCCGTAGTCATCATCGGCCACGTTCGTAGATGCAGAAGCGCTTCCGGCGGATGAGCCCCAAGCATTGACCGGTGGGGGCCGTCGGTCGTCCCATCGAACTGTTCCGCGAGTGAGGCCAGCCATGAGGACGTTCGGCTTCGGCGCTGCGGGGAGAGCAGGGAATGCTTCAGTGTCATTTGTATTCCGCACGGCGCGGGAGGTAGTAGGTGCTGGGCGGGAAGATGGGTTGATGGCGCTTGCCATGGATCGAGCAGGAGTAGGGGCCGCTGTGGCCCAGGGAGTACTTGTTGCGGTCGCCCTAGGGGCAGAGCGGGCTGTAGAGGCAGAGAGGGGCGGGAAGAGGTTAGTTGATGAGGATGAGGATGTCGAGATGATAGAACCACTCCTGCCAACCGCAGACCGGGAAGATTGTGCTGTTGATGACTTGAGCCGGAGGACACGCTTTCCACCAACGCCGCTTCCATTTACTGTGCCGGGTGACATGCCTGGAATTTGACCTCCCGGACCTGGTAAAGCAGGGTAGTCTTCGTTGATCGCGCGCCAGTCGTTCCAGGCCTTCAGCAAGGCATTGCGCTTGGATTCTTCCTCATAGATGTCCGCAAGCTCCTTGATAAGCTTTCCGAGTTCACTGCTAGAGGTATCAAATAAGGAGAAAAAAGCATCGATGAGCTCTGTGGGTGAGAGAACTGATGTGCGGTATTGAGAGACTTTGGTGCGAAAATCTGCCAGCTTGTTTGCGTCGTTCCGCAGGAGGTTGGAGGCGCGTTCAATCACAGCTGCGTGTCGCAGACGGCGCGCTTGATCCTGCGGAGTGGCAGGCCCAGACGGAGCCCCGACATTGAGAGCCTCCATTTCTGCAACTGGCGGGCCGGCGGGAGGTGTTTGAACGGGGGTTGCAACGCCAGACCTAGCTGGCGCGCGAACAGTTTGAGTATCATTGCGAGTAAGCTGGCCGCCAAAGCTGCGGGTGGAGACAGACTGTGCACTCTGGATAGCCATCTGTCGCTGATATGCAATCTCATCTCGCCTCAATGGCTGAGCGCTTGACACTGGCAGGGGATCCGCATTGGGATCACGACCACGGCCAGCGCCACGGCGTTGTCTCTGCGGTTGATAAGGTGCTCTCAGGTCGAAGTCTGACAGATCTACCGTCCGCGCGTCTCGTCTAGCATCCTTGGAGAGTCCGTTGGGATGGCACTCTAGCTGATGGGCTTTCAGGTCCATCTGCGACTCAAAAACGACAAACTTCTTCTCCAGACACTCCTTGTCCAGGCAGAGAAAATGATCCTTCTGGAAATGATCTTCAAGGGCATTGTAGTCAATGTAATACTGCTGCTGCCGACTCCCCGAACGGCGGTCGCATATGTGGCATCTCTCGTGACGGTCGCGACAGTGCGCGTAGAGTTCATCATCGCCGTAGAATCTCTTGCGGCAAAATCCACATTCGGGATGTCCTTTGAAACCACTTTGATCCAAGGCTCCTGGCACATCATCACCGTACTTCTCGTGTTTGCGCAGCTCTGCCATAGTGAAAAGTTCATGCTCATGCGTGAAGACCTTCTTGTTCCGAGTGCAAAGATCGCTGAATAATCGTTAGCAGCACTTCTATCAGTCAATGCCCACAACAAACCATGAGCACATACCACATCACTTTGCCATGCTTGCTCTTGACGTGACGATGCAGGTCAGGCCAACCCAAGCAAGCCACATCACAGCTCCTGTCAGGGCAGTTGTACCGCAGCAGCAATACCGTGTCCTCGAAAATGTCATTGTTCTCGTATTTGATTCCCAAATTCTCATCTTTCTGAGAGAAATCAGCATCCGTGAAATCCTCGTATCGCTTCGCCGAATCGTCCGTGAAAATTACATAGCTGGACTCGGTCTGGCCGAAAAGCACACGTTAGCGGACACTGGAGACGAACATTCAGCCCATAAGACGAAGCATACCCGGCAATGCGCACAAGCTTTGTTCTTATACAACGCTCGCAATCTCAAAGCACAGATGTGGCAGGTCCGGTGATTGCACGGCGAAATCGAGCTGTGTGCGACATTCGACGCACAAATAAAGCAGATCTCGCCATCGTCCGCATCGTCCGTCGCTGCTGCAGCTACCTGCTTCCTTTTACCTTCATCCGCCAGTGGAGCGTTTTGCGAGGGCGTTTCCCCATTAGCGTCCGGAGTCGCGGTCTCATCAGCGCCTTGAGCCGGTCTGGCACTGCGGTTCTGCTTATCGCGTCCCCCGCCTCCTCGTCTGGCTCCCTGACCGCGGGACCGCGAACCCCTTCCAGCACCATCGGTTGCACGTTGTGTTCCTTCTGTCTGTCCTGCTTGCTGAGAGAATCCTCCTCGGCCACGTCGTCGGTTACCACCACGGTTCTGGCCTTGCGATGGGGTCGCTCGGGGCTGCTCGGTTTCAGACATGACAACTGGCCAGAGTGAAGTTAGGGTGAAAAGGATGGGGCAATGCCCAAGAGGCAAACGTAGATTTTAAAGGGCTCGGCAATCCCCTTGAATTACGCGACGAACGATTGTCTGGGGTGAGCTGGGGAGGATTCTTGAGAATGCGGGCTGCCTGCACTCTGTAGTGGGGTGTGCGCGGCGGGCAAAAAGTTGCGCTCACTGCTTAGTTATCACCAGGCTTCTGGAAGGATACACGGAGTAGCTTGTCCTTTGATGACCCCCTTTCAAGTCGATTAACAGATCCGCCAAGAACAAGTTTATCTCCCTACTATCTACAGCATTTTAAAGCATGATTATATAATTTGCAGCTGGCAATAACACCTGGTCAAATGATCACGGTGGCCACACGGATTGCTTGGCGTACAGCTTCTGGAATCAATTGAATGACTCATGATGATTCGTCCTATGAAGCTATCGAAAGCTATCGACTGTCAATATCTAAGGTAGCAGACATCCTCCGTCAAGTACCATGTCTCGGAGGCAACACCAACTCCCGCTGGAGAAACAAATGAACATAAGCAACGGCTATCAAATCGCCAATGAGAGTAAGTATAAAATATTGAAATAGAATCGGTAGCGCCTGGAATCCAATGCGATATGCTGGAAAGTGAAAGAAAACAAATATTCAGTATGCTCGTGATGGGTAGCAATGGCCGCACTGCAGTTGAAGGGGAAAATATCGTCGTGTATCGGTCGTATAAATGAAAGACTATTCGTCCGGGCTATACAGATTCTGATTGAGGACCTTGGTCATCGTGAACATGTGTATGCGATCTTGTTTGAAAACAGCGCGCATGGCATCGTCGCAGCGGATTTGACGGCGGTCGTTGGGATCTTGTAAATCGTGTTCACGAATATACTGCCAGAGTCTCTTTACCGTTTGAGGGCGAGAAAGCTGCCAAGCTATTAGTAGATGCTCCAGTTTCAGATAAGACGGAATCGCGGAGTGAGGAATAGCGTACCGTAGCCTCGCCGTCCAGCAATGCCGAAAGCGCCGGAGACAAGTTCAATGGTTTCTATCCAATTGTCAGTTGAGATCGAGGTCCTAGGAGCGCTGGCAACTCACGTGAAACCCGCCGGATCGGTTCACTTCCTTCTTTGTTTCAGAGCCCGAATCAAGATCCGAATCATCCTCCGCCTTGACTTTCTTGGATGTTTTGGCCTTGGTCTTCTTCTTCACCGGTGCTGCCCTACGAGCACTGGCACCTCTAGTGGGCCGAGCCCGCATGTTCTCCTCTGCCTGCAATTTCGCAGCATAGATGGCATCTGCGTCGATATCGTGGTCGGGCTTCTTCTTCTTCGCCGGGGGGGTTTTGCTTGATGGATCGGACTGGTCATCGCTCTCCGCTTGACGCTTCTGAGGGGAGGAAGACCGAGCAGAAGGTGAGGGCTCCGCAGGTGTGACTGAATCATGGTTCTGTGCTTGACCGTTGGAGGTAGGGGCGGTCGATAATGCAGCCGCATCGGAAGAACCTCCTATGCCACTTCGTGCAGCAAATATATCGAACCTTTTCATGATAAGCTGCTTGATTGCAGCCTGAAATAACAACGCGCGTTAGCGGAAATTTTGTAGTGCCTAGGATGGACGGATATCAAAGGGAACAATTTGCGACAGGGTCGAGGACGGCGTTACAGACCTTCTGAGGAGTGAGGTCATAGCCGACGACTTCCTGAAGACCTTTGCGAATGCGCTTCTCAGAAATGGTATTCAAATCGCTTTTCGCAAGAATTGAATCTATGACCTCTATGTATCGGGCCTCAACATCCGGGGATACTGTCGCGCAAGGCATGATGTCAGTAAAGACCGAGTTCGGAGCTTAGGCACAACATTAGAATGGTGATCTTACGCGACATGTCGTCCAAGAGCTTCAATTTCTTATTTTTCCACAGATTCAAAGCTGGAGAAATCAGAATTGAGCCCGGAGAAACTTCTACAGGTCGAGAGTCAAGTGTTGATGAGACCAAAGTGAGTCCAATGGGTATCGCAATGGCGATAGTTGAGCTCGTCCAGATCTAAGCGGTCACTCACTTGGCGCTTAAGACCGGCGGGGCATAAGAAACGGAGGCAGGTATATCAGGGGTGACAGGACGAGAAGAGAAGAGACATATAAGTTCTTTATAAACAAAGACAGGATGAAGACGGTTGACCCCACA